TTTTTTTTTTTTTTTTTTTTGTGGTACGCGAGCCTCTCACTGTTGTGGCCTCTCCCGTTGTGGAGCACAGGCTCCGGACGCGCAGGCTCAGCGGCCATGGCTCACGGGCCCAGCCGCTCCGCGGCATGTGGGATCTTCCCGGACCGGGGCACGAACCCGTGTCCCCTGCATCCGCAGGAGGACTCTCAACCACTGCGCCACCAGGGAGGCCCGACAGGTGGATTCTTAACCACTGGCCACCAGGAAGTCCTCCTCCCCATTTCTGACACCTGGATATTCCAAGTTGTGACAGATGCTCCAGGGTGTAGACAAGCCCTCATTTACACGCTCCTGTGAATCAGTGGCTAACTTTAGGACCTGAAGATTTGAGAGACAACTATCACTTTTTGGCAACTCTCCTTTCCACTTACTTCCCCCAAGAAGCAGCCACATCACGTGCTCTAACTGGCGACTTTATTCAGGGGGGTGAGGAAAACAATGAACTACAATTGGGTTATTTCTCAAATAATCTGAAGAGGCGCGAGTCTCTGGGGCCCCAGAGAGGAAGGATGGGACTCTGGAAACTAGAATGCAGAGAGGGACAGGGGTGGGACTCTGGGTGTCTTGAGCGGCGGGGCCGGAGGTGGGGAGAGGGGGTGCATCTTCCATTCAAGGCCAGGCGCCCCCTAGGGGCCGCTGCCACTTCCACTGCCACTTCCGCTGCTTGCAGCGTCCAGGATCCAGGTGCGAGGGCGTCGGGAGCGCCGGAAAGTGGTTTCCCGGGCCCTCCGTGTGTGTCTGGGACGCGGCAGCACCGAGGTGGAAATGTTGAGGCAGTGACCAGAGCCAGGATCCGCCACTGGTACCGCGTAGCCCAGAAACGAGCGGCAAAGTTCCGCTCCGTCAGCAAAAGTCTGGCGGGAAGGGGTGAAGTTTGGGTCCGAGTTGGTGGAGTCCAGCTACCCTGGGGGCAGCGGCGCGATCTTAGGGCAGGAAATTCTCACCTCTAGGTCATCCCGGGAGTCTGGGGGCAGGGCCATAGTGGGGGTGGGGCCTTGGGGAGTGCGAGGTTTTACTGGGTCCCAGGGGGCTCGGGTGGCAGAGAACCAGATGAAGGCTGGGGCCTTGGAGAAGGAGACTCGGGTTTCTGGGCCTTCCAGGGGGACTGTGGACGGGCCTAGAGCAGAGACCGTCCTTTGGGGAGGGCAAATCCAGACTCAGTGGGCCTTAGGGAGGCTACAGGCATATCCTATTATGGAGATTGGGCTGTGGAAGCGGGAAGGATGGGAGTGGGGGCCTTGGGAGTGCCAGTCCGGACTCTGGGACCTAGACGGGCTAACCCAGGACATAGTGAGGGGAAGTATCAGTCTCTTCCTGTCTTCCTCTGTCCCATGCTCACCTGCCCATAGGTGGTGCAGCCAGGCTCGCAGCCCCTCTTTTCTAGGAGTGGGAGCCAAGTCGGGCTGCAGATGATATCACTTTCGCAGGTGGCAAACCTGGGGATGGTGTGTGGAGAAAAGAAGGCGGGTGAAGACTCCGCAGCCACGTCCTAGTGGGATTCCTGCTCTCCAAGGCTTTGCCCCGGGTATGTCCCTTCCCCAGATCCAGGCACCGCCTCTTAGAACCACGCTCCTACAAAAGCCATCCCCCAGATTTCAGCCTGCCCCATATTCTCTAAACTTACCAGGGCTCTGTCACTTCAGGCCTCACACCTGCCGACCTCAGACCATCTATTCCAGGCCAGCCCCACCCTTTTAGCTTCTCTTTTCAATCAAGAGGCCCTCCCCTTAAAAAAAAAAAAAAAAGCCAGCTCCATGGAAGGCCAGTCCTCCGTAGTGCCAGTCTTAGCAGCGGGTCCTCCACAGGCCCCGCCCCTTTCTACCTAGCCTCTAAACACCAGGCCTCGTCCTGTACACCTTGGTGGCTTTGGACGCAGGCCACGCCCCTTCAGGCACCCGGAGGATCAAGCTGCAGATCCCCCGTTCGGCCCCGCCCAAGCCATAGACCACACCCCTCACGCCCCGCCACTCCTACCAGGCATCGCAGAGCTCCGAGCAGAGAGGCTGTGTCTGGCGTACCCCCAATAGCAGCAGGTGGAAACGACTGCGGAGGGCAACCTGGAGGTTTCCCAGGAAGGATTCACACCTGGATATCGGGAGAGACAGGCCCAGATAGGTCAAGGTGCGCAAGGGCTCTGTCCCCTGGTCGGGACAGCTGGAGCAAAGAACACAAGGAAACACTGGAGGTTGCTGTACTTGCCCGGGGCTCAGCTCCCCACAGCTCCCTGAGACGATCCCAGGGTCCGATGCCTCTGGTGTGTTCATCTCTGAGGGACAAGAGTGTCATGGAGAAGGGGACTCCAGTGAGTTGCCATCTTGGATCCTCAGGTAGGGTTGGGGAACCAAGGCTTGGGGTTCCTCTGAACGGGGAGACCCCAATTATATATGTTCTCTCAAACATAAAAGTTAAAGACACTTCGCTTGTGATGCAAATGGAGCTTCAAGAAATAATCACTAATCATAATCAGCTTATCATTTATGACAACCTGGTGGTGATATAAATTCTCATATACTTACATATACACTTTTACAACATCCTTATGAGGTAGGTCTATTATTTCTCCTCCTTTCTTAATGGCCCACCTGAGGCTCAGAGAGGTTAAGTGATTTGCCCAGGGTCACACAGCTATGAAGTGGCAGAGTTGGGATTTGAACCTAGGCAGTTTGTGCTGTTTAACCACCACTAGACCCAGGTGCCTCCTCCGGTCACCCTAAACCCCTCTCCAAAGGAAATTCTGGCATTGTTATGGTTGAGTTGGGGTTTCTGGTTGTTAGAGTTTAGGCAAAGTCTGGAATGCTTACCTGCCAGGTGCAGCTGGCTTGTGCCCAAATTGGTCACCAGCCTATGGTGTCTCTGGGATCTAGCTGGGAGTGGGTGGCTCCCTCCACAAGCCCCCAGCAGGATCCATGCCAGGGTCAGTTGCAGGGCCCAGGCCAGGCCCCTGGGTCGAGTGCAACCCCTGCAGACCATGTCCACCTGAGATAAGAGTCAGCTGGGATACGGGGTGAGGTTCAGCTGTCCCTTTCTGGTAGCTCAGGGTGGCACTGTCCTGATACGCAGCCAGGAGACAGTGCCAGGCAGAGCAGAGAAAGGGCAGCTGATGAGGAAGCAATAGCCAAGGACCCTCAAATCCCCGGGGGCCACCAAGGTCTGTCTCTGACCAAGGAGCCCCCCCCCGTCAGACTTATGTCCCCTCCATCCCTTCAGGTGCAAGTGTCCCCACCCCTGTTTGACATTGGTTCCCTTCCCCCCCACCCCGACCCAAAGTGGGATCTCCCACCCTATGGGCCCTCAGGCAACCTCCTCCGTCCTCTAAAGGGACCTCCCCAGATCTTCCAATCCCCCCTCTTGTCCAGTAATTCTTCCTTCTCTTCTGCCCAGTCTCCTCCCTCCCTCTTGATCCCTGCTGGCCCCTTTCATGGTCACCTTCTCTCGGCCCACAATCAGCTTAGGGGCTGACACCCAGGGCTGGACCTCTGGACCCAAGCTTGGCTGTGGCAGGACTCGGATTCTGCCAGTGGGATCCAAAGGCCCCAGGGCAGGGGGAACTAGGGATCTGTGAAGACACGGCAATTCCCTCCCCCTCTCTGCCCCCTCCGGCCACCCCTCACCTGTTAGCCGGACTGGAGTCTAGGGCGCTGCTGAGACACCTCAGGGTCAAATCCAGGAAACAGCTGAAAGGGGCGTGGTTTGATGCAGGGGAGGGATTTCCCACCGCCCCGCCCTCTGCTCCAGCTGACCAAAGACCAGAGGATCTGAGGCTGGTGTGTATATATCCTTGTGTTTGTCTTTATGTTGAGCTTGTGACTTAAACTCTGTATATGTGTGAGGAGATGGATGAGGGGGTGTGTGTGTGGGATGAGGGTGTGTTTTGTGTTTGTGTATGTATTGAGTGGGTATGTGTGTTTGTTGTGTGACGATATGTTTATGTGCGTCTCTTTAGTGTGTGGTGTGTGTGTGTGCTCAAGATCTGGGTAAGGAGGTCTGTAAGTGTTCCAAGAGCCAAGTGTGTCCAGTTGAGTAAGAGTCAGATAATAAGTGAAGGGGAGGGGGATGAAGGATGAGGATAGATGTTGTGCAAATTATTGTGAATAGGTCACTGGACAAAGGTTATTGACCATGAATGTTGACATTGAGTGAACAAGAAGGTGTTGTCATGTGTGGAGAGGGTGTAGGACTCCATCTGACATGTGTGTGTGTGTGTGTGTGTGTGTATGTGTGTGTGCCCCTTTGCAGTTTCTGTGAATTTGTGTCCCTGCAAACATTCCCTCAATTCATTCAACAAACATTTATTGAGCACCTAGTGTGTGCCAGATTCTGGGGATGCAGTGTAGTGACTAAGACATGAAAATCTCAACCCTCATAGAGCTGATAGTTTAGTGGGGGAGTCCAGTAAGAAAAAACAGCCCTCTAAAATAAAATAAAATAGAAAAGAAAAGAAAAACAGCCCTCCAGTGGGTATGTGAGTGTGTGTATATGTGTCCATGTTTTGCATTGGGAGGATAATGAGTCTGTATTTTGGACAAGAGTTTGTGTGCAGCTGAGCTTCCTTTGGTTTGGGGACGATGAGTGTGTGCTTGTGTTGTTGAGTGTTTTTATGTGTTGTTTGTGTATGCCTGCATTGCCGAGTGTGTGTATGTCTGTGTTTTCTAAGTATGTGTTTGCACGTGTGTTTCCAGAATGTGAGTTTATGTGAATATGTGTTTCTGTGTTTGCTGAGTGTGTGTTTGTATTCTGTGTTTATGTGTTTGCATAAGACTCTCTGTGTCTATGTGCTAACTCCATGTTTGCAAATGATTACATGTGTTTGTGAGTTTGTGTTTGCTGAGTATGTGTTTGTATGTGTGTGTATTTGCAGAATATGTGTTTTTGTGGAGTATGTGTTTGCAGGGTGTGTGAATGGGTATATGCGAGTCTGTTTGTTGAGCATGTGTTGATACTTTCGTGTTTGTGTGTGTATTTGCACAGTGTGTGTGCGTGCCTGTGCTTGTAGAGTTTGCATATGTGTTTTTGTGAGCAATGAGTACTACCACAAATCTCTCTCCCTCTTTTCTCGGATAGTGCAGAGTTTTTGTCTGTCTCTTTTACTGATGTACTCCCAGAATCCAAAACACTGCTTTGCACACAGTAGGTGCTCAATACCTGTTGAGTAAATTAATCAGGAGGCACTGTCTCCTGGCCCCTCTAAGAACACCCACTGATGTCCTGGAAGCTTCAGCAACCAGTACTCAGTGGACCTAGCCTTCCTCCGGTTCATCCTGGGGTAGTCCAGGGTGCTCGTGGGTCTTATCTGTCCAGCCTCTAGGCTGTGCCTCCCGACAACCCTTCCCCTTCCCTAACCTCCGCCCCCAACCTGAGCTCATATTTCAGCACTACGGACTGGAGCGCTAGAAATCAGCACCACGGAGAGCTCCCGCGGCAGCCGGCGGGAGAAGGCGCGTCAAGAGCGGTTTCCCGGCCTTGGACAGAGAGGTGCGAGGAACAGACTCAGCGAGATGGCAACACGAACATGCTGACAGAGACAGAGAGAAACAGACCGAGACAACTCAGGCAAAGGCGCAGAGATGAGCAGACAAGCGCCTGGGGAACACCGGGACCTAGACCTCGCTGTAGCCCCCTTTGACAGGCAGGGGTCGCTCCCGCCCAGTGACCGCGCCCTCCAGGGTCTTCGGGACAGTTATGGACTGAGACCCTTGGGAAGCCCCCACCCCACCATGCCCTCCAATGCCAAGACTGGCGTGGGGAGGTCTCCGACGCTTTTCACTACAACTAGGGGAAGCATGGTTGGCTTGGCCTCAGCTGCAGGAACACTGCGGGGGAGTGGTGAAAATCGCTTCGGCTGCCCTCCTCCCCAACCACCAGCTAATCGTTCCTATAAATACGGCCCAGCCTGGCCTGGCTTCTTAATCCTGACGATGAGGGAGGGGATCGCCAGGGAAGCGGGTTGGTATAAGCATGTAAATGATTTTCGGAGGGGGCTTCTCCCGTAAGGACGGGTCTCCTCAGTGCAAATACACACTCTGTAAGAGTGTATCTCCTTGGGATGTGAGGTCTCGTGGGTGGGGACAATTTCCCATAGAGAATATGGCTTTCGTGGGGTCTTTCACTGAGGGTAACCTCACCAAGCTCCCCAAGTGAAATATCACCCGCGGGGATCTTTCTCTACGAAAATGTCTCCTCTTTGGAGGGTGGGCTTTTGAGAGGAAGCGTCACCCCTCAGAGACCATCTGTTTTAGAAATGATTTTCAGGGTGAGAGGAGTTTCTGATTGGAGAGGGCCTCCCTATGGAGACTACCTCCCCGTGGGAATGTGTCTCTCTGAGGGGGTCACCGCGGGGAGGAGGTTGTCTGCATAAGGAATATATCTTAGTGAGACTGTCTCCTTTGGGGTGTTTCTTGGGTTGGGAGTCTACCCATGGGCATGTCTCTCCCCTGGAGTGTCTTTACAGGGGTCTCTCGGTAGCTTGACTTCCCTGGGGACATCTGGAGGCTCCTTCCCCCTCTTGTCCGCCGCCCCCGCCCCTCCCGCCCCCCCCCCCGCCCCCAGCGCGGGCAGCCTTGGCCGAGGCCGGGCTCGGGCGCCCAGACGCAGTGACGACGCCGGGTCCGCCCCACTTTGCTCCGCCCCCGCCACCTCCCTGCCCCCGCCTCCCTCCTCCCGCCGCCGCCCCTGCCGCCGCCTCCCACCTCCCTCCCCGGGGCCGAAGCCTCTGCCGCCGCCGCCGCCATGGACGATTCGGGCCTGATTCGTCGCCGGAGGCTGCAGGTACTCGGCAGCCCTGGCCCCGGGTGGAGGGGAAGGGGTCGGCGCCCTGGGGCGGGGCCCGGCAGGAGGCGGGAGAACTTACGCCAGGGTTGGCCCAGGCGCCCTCTCCCATGGCCTCAGGACTCTACCTAAGGGGAACGCGGTGGCCGCGCGTCCCGCCGCGCTGGGGACCCCGCCCCTCAGGGGCCGCCCGGGGATCCAGGGATCTGACAGAGGGGGATGCAGCCTTGCGCTCCCCTCGAGGATAACCCGAGGGGCTCCCGGCCCGTCAGAGGGGGAAGGGGCTGGGATCGAGGTCTTTGCCCTGGTGCCCAGCCAGGCTGGGGGTGAGGGGGCGCAGAACAAAGTTATTGCCCCAGGGCCCGCGCCCCTCGGGGCTGCCGGCGCCGCAGCAGTAGTAAACATATTTGTGCTGCAGTCTCGCCCCTCACCACCCCAGGAGTCCCTTCCTGAGGCATGCCGACCCCCTGCGACCTCCACGCACCTGCTCGGCCACCAGGATTCTTCCTACTGCCCTAATTGGACAGGCATCTAGACAGCCTCCCTCCTCACTCTTCATTCCACCCCGCTCCACTACAACACTACCCCCCCACCCCCACTCCGTGATCCTCAAGTCCAGCCCAGCTTGTGGGTGGGCGGGAGCGATTTTTAGCTCCTTGCAGCTTTAGACGATGTTGGTCTCTAGGCTGCGCAGGCGCAGGAGACGTGGGTCCACTGCGCGGAGTGGGACACTGAGGTTTGCTGTGGAGTGTGGGGAAGGCGGGGACAAATCCAGGCGTCAGGAACTCCCACATCCTAGATGGGTGGGGATTCTGAAGCTGAGAAGGGTTCTCTTCGGTCTGCAGCATGCACTTCTAAGGGTTAATACGGGGGTTCGGTGTTGGCCCCAAACTAACCCCAGAGAGGAAATCGGTCAAAGCTTCACCCTAAGGTTTGCCTGGCATCTGGTCTTTCTGAGCCTCCTTGAAGCAGCCCCGAGCTAGGTAGTCCGGAGAAGTTTATATAAAGCCTAGAATGGGCCCAGTCTCAGGCTACATCCCTAGCCTGGAACTTGGAAAGAGAAGGAGAGGATTCAAACCATCACCCAGGGGCCTCGTCCATCTTTGGATGGGGCCATTTCAGAGGGCAGGAAGGACTTCCCTGGCGTCTGGATGATGCTGGAGCCAGACCTGAGTTTTAACCAGAGCCCAGATGGGCTCTCCAGGTCTTCCTCGGATTTCCTTCCTTTCCCTGGGCTGGGTTAGGAGAACGGGTTCTGATAAAAGGGAGGGAGCTGCTGCAAAACCAGAGCAAGTGCTGAAGCAGTTAGACTGGGTCCGCGCCGTCGGGTCCCCAGAAAAGGGCTGAAACGGGCGGAGCCTGCATGGGGTGTGTCCCCGCCCCCTGGGCCGGCGCCGACTCCTATTGGCTCAGTGCCACGCGGGACTTAGCTCTCCAACGCAAGACCACGCCCCCAACCCGGGATCCTCCCACTCATCCACCCATCCTTCCCCAGGCTTCTAGGCCGAGGGAGCTACTCCACCGAAGTCCTGCCCGAACCTCTTCCCTTCTGGCAGGGTTAACCACTTCGCAGCCTGAATACACTCTCACACACTGGTGCAACCCCTTAGGAGCTGTCCCACAACCACGGAGCTCCCAAGGTCCCCTGTGTGCAGTTGGGATCGTACAGCAACCTAAGTTCGAATGCCCCGGCCACAGGGCCGTCCGTTAATCACGAAGAGATGCAGAATCCGCTGGGCAGAGCAGCTCTGCAGCTGGGGATGGAAGTGGCGTCTGTTTACACGGACGCCAAGGATCCAGATCCTCTACCTCTCCACCTTGCCCCTTTCTTCGACCCTAAAATGTTTAGGGATGCTAGCAGATGGGGCTAGAGTCGAGGACTTTTCTAGGTAGCACTTAAAGGTCCCCCTGG